CTTTTTTTTTTTTTTTTTTTTTAATTTTTTTATTTTTTATTTTTTATTTTTTATCCTACTGCTTGTAGTTCACTTATTTGTTATCTTGTTAAGCTTGTAATTTGTTATTTGTTATATTGTTATTCACTAATTTGCTATCCTGCTGTTTTTTTTTCTCTCTCTTTGTATGCCCAAGAAGCTGATGGTTTTGTTTTTTTTCTTTCCCTCTGCCAGAACAGTAATTTCGGTTTGTTTCGGTTCTTATCGGTTTAAACCGAAACCGAACCGCCTTATCGGTAACCGATTTTTCGGTTACCGACCTCTTATCGGTTTGGTTTCGGTTTGAATATTAGTGAAATCGAAACCTATCGGTTCGGTTTCGGTTTTATGTTATCGGCTCGGTTACCGAATCGATACCAGCCCTAATTACCTATGCTTATTTATACATCTTGACCATGTTTGAAAACTCTAACGTGATTATTATTCTTAGTGCAAATACTAAATTCTAGAATTCAAACACTAATTCCAGTGTTTACGTCGGGAATTCGTCCTGAGCGCTTTGCAACTTGAAGCCAGATAGTGAAGGTTGCGGTCCGATCAGGAAGAGCAGAACACACAAAACTCGACTATTATTTGCTTGATTCTAATATCTAAAATGCTATAATGCAATTTTGGTTCTATTAGATTATGAAGGTAGCAATTTAGGTCCCACTGAAGTACCATATAACACTTTACGTTCTCTAATTTGATGTTTTATTTCAATTTTAGTCTTTGGACCGTTAAAACTGAAATTGCAACAAATTTTAAATAACAGGACGTAAATTGCTAATCAAAATTCACTCAAATATATAAATTAGGTATGTTGATGGCCCAAAAATTGAAATTGCAACAAAATTTTAAATTACATGACTTAAAACGTCGCTTATGTCACTTCAGTAGAACTTAAATTTCTACCTTCATGATCTAAATGACCAAATTTGTAATTTAGCCTTTCTTAAACCACTATAGTATGAATTTTCACAATTCAAGCGGTACTGTTGATCCATCGTATGTCCTGCCTCACAGAAACATAAATAATTCGAAATTGATTAGGTGTCTTAATTAATCTGATTATTATGTAATACTGAACTGTAACTTTTGCAAATATTAATTGTAAAACTAACAATCATCGACAACTATACTTTGTTATTTACCAGAGACACACAGTAAATTAACCATATGGACTAAAATGTGCAAAAATGTTTGCCTGGTAGATTAAAGGATCGGTTTTCATTTATCAAAGTTGTCAGAACACCAAAAATCTTTCCATTTTAGGAAGAGAATGTTGTGACACAATAGGAAAGGCAAACACAAGAACAGGCACTTCCCCACGCCTCTAAAACAACCGACAGCCCTTTCCCATTCATCTCTCTCTGACACTCTTCAGTAAATGCATATATATCAATCAGTTATTCACTTATTTGTACAAGGCCCATATATGTCTCCATACATACAATACAATATTATTACAACCTGTACATTGAAATTTTCATTTAAAAAGAAGAAATTTATTATTATGGGGGAACAAGCAAAGAGATCCATAGCGCACTATGTATGCTACGGAATCAAAGCTTTCTACAANAAATCATTAATTTCCACAACGGATGACGTCCTAGTTGGCCCCCTAATAATAAAAGAAAAAAAGAATCCTAAAAACTTTTAATGCGTAGTTACAATGAGAGGATATGTTTCATCCGAACCCGACTTCACGTCGTCCACATCACCATTATTATTACCACACAAAATCCGCTCAACACTATCATTATTAATACTATGCTCATCACAACAAGTCCTTTTAACTTGTTTATTATTATTATTATTATTATTATTATTATTATTATTATTGTTAGCACCTGCCTCCTCCCCCAGAACCGGCAGCAGAGACTTGCAAGCCTGAGCCGTGAGCTCCCTGGCCCGGTCCGCCTGAGCCTTCCAGTCCGTCCTCCCCAACACCACCATCATCAGCAGCGCACACGACGCCTGGGCCGCCAGCAGGCCCAACCACAGCCCAACAAATCCCATCTCCATCACAAAGCCCATCACGAACGCCACTGGAAAGCCCACAAAGTAAAACGAGCCCAGATTAATATTCGCCCCAACCGCCGGCCTCGCGCTCCCCCTCAGCACCCCACACCCAGCCGTCTGTGGACAATTTCCCAACTCACACAAACCCGCTATCGGGAGCGCCGCCGCCGTCAGCCCGAGAATCTCCGCATCCGCCGTGAAAAGCCGACCCCACCGCCACCTCATCAGCGTCGCGAAAGCCATGGCCGCCACTCCAAGCCCGGCCGCACACCACAGCGCCACCACCATCGAAATACGGGCCCTCCCGGGCCTGCGGGCCCCGAGCTCGTTGCTGACCCTAGTCGAAACCCCAAGCCCGAGCGAAGAAGGGAAAACGTATATCAACGAAGTCGTCTGTATCAAAATCCCCATGGAAGCAATGGTGGCCCGCGGGCTCGGCAGAAGCCCACACAACATTATCATGAGTTCGTACCACCACCACTCGAGACAAACAGAAACACACGTGGGCACAGAAAGCGAAAGCAGCTTCGACCAGCCGCGAAAACAGTCGCGGCTCGGGACGACCCACGAGCCTTTGTAAATCCCGGAGAAGTAAACGTAGAGAGAGAGAAAGACGAGGAGGTTTAAATTCGTGAGAGACATTGCTAAGGCGACCCCGGATATCCCCATGTTAAGATAGTTGACGAGGAAGAAATTCAGAGGGATGTGAAGGAGAAGGGAGGCGCAGGAGCAGTAGGTGACGGGGAGGGTGACCCCCTGGGCACGTAAGTAAATCCTTAAGGGATGGAGGAGGGAGAGGAAGAATAAGTCGGGTATGGCGAAGAGGATGAACTGTTGGGCGGCGGAGGAGATGTGGTGGTCCTGGTTGCACCATAGGAGGATTTTGTTGATGTTGAGCCAGGTGAGGGAGATGGGGAGGGAGGTGGAGAGGAGGAGGAGGGTTGTGCGGTGGAGGGTGAGCCCGAGGAGGTTCATTTGTTTGGCGCCGTAGGCTTGGCCGCAGATGGGGTCCATGCCCATGGCGAGGCCGGAGATGACGGAGTAGCCGGTTATGTTGGCGACGCCCATTGAGAGGGATCCGCCGGCTAGCGCCAGCTCGCCTAAGTGTCCGAGGAAAAGCATGGAGATCATGGCGCGTGAGTAGATGAGGAGTCCGGTTATGGTTGTGGGTCCGGATATCTTGGCTATCTCTTTCATTTCATTCATGGCCTGGAATTTTTCAATTTTTTAAACAAAATGTGTGAAACTTTTTTTTTTTGTGTGTGTGTGTGTGTATTTTAG